TTTCGTACCTTTATCTTTGAAGCCTGAAATGTGGCAAAAGGTCGCAAGGTTCAAGGGGGCCGAATACTTTCGCAAGGCACTGTATATTCTTGCATACACGTAGGTGATGTGGACTCATAGGTGTGTGATTGATTTTGATTATTGAATAGAATTTTGTGATTAATGTGTGATACTGGAAGAAGATCTTTAGTCTCCAGTATAATGTATTCCTCCTGTAAATGTTATGATTAACCAATGAATGTTTGCTACATGTTGATTAGACATTTTCCACGTTTTTGTCTGAAAAATGCTATAAATTGCAATGAAGACCAGTTTACATGCCATTATTTTTATGTTATTGAGATTTTTCCCTTAGGTACTCAGCTCTGGGCTTTCCCTGGAGGGGGTGGTTTGGGGGGGCCTCCCTCCTCCTTGGATGCCTAATCTGGGAACAATAGGGACATTTGATTTAGGTTGACACGATAAAAATCGTGTCAAAAGGGGGAATTTGTTAGAAATTAATAAATTAGTCAGATAATTATTAGACTTTAATGTGTTAGACTTTAATATGTGTTAGTAATGCAGTTTAGTAAGATTCAAGGTCTGCTGCTGTTTCAAGGTTAGCAGCAAGCCATGACACCGATTGTTTTCTTGTATTAATCTTGTGTAAAAAATTATGTCTGAATGAATGTTTAGTTACACATCACGCATACAACATACACACACATTGAGCTACCTCATTTTGTTATGACTAGGTAATACGCAGCTGCTCCAAGAATGTGGAGCTCTAGATAAGCGATGGAGTCTGTGGGGCGGACTTCATCTGTGTAAGGGGTTAGCCCCAAACTTATAAATGTATTAGGCTCTGTGTTTCCAGGTGCTTTTTTCCCTGCTCTCTTCCCCAGCAGCTTGTCTGAAGGAGGGAGCCCTGGGTTGTGTTCTGTAATCCTTTTTATACATATATATATATTTGTAAATAAACCAGCACTAAAATCAAGAAAGACGGACTCCTTTTTTACTCAGATCTGTCCAGTAAAAGAACTGGGGTATAACACGTGTAACGGATGAGTATTTATATCTGTGCTGTCACTGAGCAATAAACAAAGAAAACTCCACCAGATTCAAAATTTTAGTAACATCAGCTTGTTAGAAAATGTATTTTAAAACAACCCTGTTTTCAGAGTAGACACAGGGAAAACTGCAGTTTTACATGGCAGTCCTGCACTGGTCCTTCGAGTACTCACACAAACACGATGGTCAGTCAGACTCCATAAGAGGCACTTCCTTATGGCTGTGCTGACGTCATCGCTGGGCTCACATGACCCCACACGTGTGTGTGCGCGTGTGGTAAACATGACGTGTTGACTCGGGAACCACGGGATCCTGAACAGCACAAGCACACCGTGGTCACAGCTGCTGCTGTGCGCGCCACTGGCATCAGTAGAACAAATTCTACTCAGCATATTAACACTATTCCAGAGGTTTTCAGGTCCTGCTCTGCTCCCCCCTACACACGCACGGTGACACCCCGGCGCTCCAGGTTCACGTACTTCTGTTTAGTCACTGATTGAAAAGCCTCTGCGCTGACAGCTGCTCCCACATCTGGCTGCAGAATCCGGAATGGGTTGCTTTATATTGAGCTCATTTGATTTAGTTTAAAAAATCGAATTGCTTTAATTTTCACACGTTTCTTTATCAATACACGTGCCAGGTATTTTCTTTAACCGAGTGTTCAGCTGTCCATGTTTCCCTGAAGTGGCTTTGTCTGAGCAACACGAACACGTTGAGTTCACTGCCATAAAAATATTCACCCCCCGCAGAAGCTGCTACCAGCAACACATTAATATCTGGCTTGCAAACTTTTAATCAATTAGCCAAATTGTTGCCAATTAAAATGGAAGGAGTTAATAGACTAATCGTTTCTGGGGACCGCGCACGTGTCGCGCACCTATTCAATCTCAACGCCGAGACGTTTCAGTTCACATGCAACTGTTTTCACATTTTTACTGAACATCTGGTTCCCATGTGAAAAGGTGACATCTTCCATCTGGCGTGAAATTCACGCTGAGGCTGCAAACAGAGGCACGGACGCGCAGAGAGGGAGATTCCTCTGGCCTGGCAGGAGCCACGAGCCCGGAGCAGCTGTGCGCTCTAGCGCCGAGGAGAGTTTGGCCGAGCCGAGGTGTCAACCGCTGGAGACTAACTAGGAGAAACGCCGTGAAGAGCTGGGGACCAGTGGGAGCGCGCCCCAGTCGGTGAAGCCCGTGCACGCCCCTGCAGCCTCTAAACATTTCCAGGTTCCTGGTAGAAGCTCACACGAGGAGCAGCACACGGCGTGAATCAGCGACCATTTAGTCACTTTAACCCTTCACCAGGATTTCACCAACACAGCTGCCGACTGACAGTTTCTAAAAGCGTGTTAACAGCGTGGAGTGACCTGATTATAACCGAAACTCTGTGGGTGTCAGAAAAAGCCCCTTTATATAACATCATTATAACCAGAGCAGCTTCTAGTCCAACGTAGCAGTCTGCAGGCTTTTACTCTGATTCCTGGCTTTAAATTAAAATTATAACTTTTAATCTGGGATTCACAACATTTAGCACAAACGTTTGTCTTAGAATTAAAATTTTCAACCTCATCTAAAAATTCTATCTTTTGTCTCAAACCCTGAATTGAATCTCAGACTTTGTTTAAGATTCTGACTTTTCATTTTCAGGTGTTTAAGTGTGGCCATCTTGGATTTTCCTGGTTATCGCTGTGTGTTTCCTTAACACCTTAAAAATGTCAGAAAACAGAGATAACAACACAACCTAACAAACAGGAGCCCTGGCTTCAGCAGAGTGCAGGAAATAAATTCGTACGACTACGTTTTAGAAATGTTCTTAATGCTGACAAGTAGTCCTCACAACGGTTCATTCAGTTTCCTGACTTTATTCTCAAAAGTTTTTATATTCTTGACTTTTATCTCAAATTTTGGGCATAAATTCTCAGATTTTCTGCCTTTCATTAAAGTTTTTACTCTGTCATTCCTGATTTTCATCTCAAAGGTTTGACTTCTAATCTCAGATGCTTTTATCTGTAAACTGAGATTTTTAATCCCACACTCCTCACTCTAATCTCAGACTCCTGATAATATCATCAAAACCTTTCATCTCAGAGTAAAAACCAGTGAAGTACAACCATTACTTCAACGAGATATCAGCTCAGAAAGTCAGTGACGTGTTCAACAGTCATCTGAGTGGAAACAGTTCACGTTTTAAATTAAACATTAACATTTACAGTTCAGTCTGAGGAATGACTTTGGATCAGAAAGGACATTTAACCTTTTTACCTTTAGGGGATTATGGTGATGTGCTGTTTGGTATGTCACTGTGCTTTACGCCTCATCGCTGGCCAGCTTTTGCGTTAGTTGGTTGTTATATATAAATCTCTTCTCAGGCTGGTTCCACCTTATTTATGTACTTGTATGTGTAAAGACCAAAGTCAATATGGCCTACACTCACACAGTACTTTTCAGATGCTGGTTCCCAAAGTTAGAAGAGAATTAGGCAAAAAGCTTTCAACATGCTGCGCCTTCTTCTTGGAACAATGTGCAGAAGGATCCAAAACTATCAGAACCGCCTGCTCTGGAGCGATTCAACAGCGTTGTCGGTCAGTGCCACTGTGCGTGTTGAAGTGTTGATGCTTTTAACTCTTTTTTGGGTTTCTGTGATTTTACACTACGTGGACGTTGTGTTTGCTGAAGTATGTCTCAGTTGTGTGTCCACATGTAGTCCTAGTCTGTTGTTGTCACAGTTTACTGGTTAACCGTTTGCTGCCCTCTTGGCTAGGTCACTCTCAGTGAGGTTCACCTGGTTAAGTAAAGGATTTATCAAATAAATAAATCGATCAACTCTCAATTTTGGTTTAAAATGAAGGTTTTCAACAAACTCAAAGAGTTAGAGTTTGGCCACAGTGCAGTTTCTATCTCATCAGTCCACCTTAACAGCGAGACAGCAGCAGGACCACTGTGGCTGTTGAGGAATTAATGAGGTGCAGAGAGGGCGCCCTTGCTGCTGTGTTTCAGCCTCTATGTGGTTTCCAGACCCAAACCTCAGTCAAGGTGTTTCCCTGAAACAAACCGATCGCTCTACCTTTAGGCCGACTTCCAGGAAAATGTGGGAAAATCCACTGAGGAAGCCGGAGTCAGGGGCAAACACAGACGAGGAGGAAAAGCACATTTAACAGAATTTATAAAGTTACATGTGACATGAATAAGAGGCAAAATCAAAAGTCTGATCTGCCTTTTACACCAGTGTAAATCTGATCCATGTTTACACTGGGGTGTGTGTGTGGAATTTGAAAATGAACACAAGATTTTCAGAATCCGAATTTATGCCTGAAAACTTTATGCCCACTTTATTCTGATAATTCTTTACTTTAAATCTCACATTTTTATCTTCTGTATCAAATTTTACCTCTGAATCTAAATTTTTATCAACATTTTGACTTTTAATCTCTGGTTTTAACTAAATTTGTATTATATTTTAAAATGTAAATGTCAAAATTTCTGCTTTTATTCTCAAAATTAATTCTTACCCTCAAATTTCTGAATTTATTTCCAGAATTCTGACTTTTTCATCTCAAAATCTTGACCTTTATCTCAAAATTCACATTTTTAATCTAAAAGTCGGGACTTTATTTCAAAGTTAGACTTTAAGCTTGAATTCAAATTTGAATCCCAAAATCCAGATTTTTAACCTCAGATTTCTAAATTTTAATTTGAAATTGCTGATTCTTTCAAAATTCAGACTCTGAATCTCAGATTCTTATCTCAGAATTTGTTTTCTGACTTGGCGCCAGACATTTGTCATAATTTTGACTTTCTTCTCAAAAATCCAAGTCATAATCTCTAATGCCCAGTAGACTGCAAATGATGAAGTCCAAACATCTGGATTCAGCCTTAAGTTGAGTGACAAAAGCATTTGACCTGGCTTCACTTGTTCCCGTCACTCACGGCCTCACAAAGCTCTGCTCTTCATGTCTTGTTGCTGAGGTTTACTGTGGGCAGTCATCTTCAGGTCTGATACATGATGTAAACACATTTTAAACAATATTTTGTGACTCACGTTCTAAAGACCTTTCATGTGACTGGTCCCAGAGTTTTGTCCGGTAAACACCAGAATTCTCACCGGGCTTCAAACAAACTAGGTCATACACTGTCTTGTCCAGTGTACAGCCAGACGGCGCTGAGAGACCGATGCTGTACACATCTGACTGTAAACAGGAAGGTAAAAGGTCAAATCCATCACATCAGGACGTCCTCCAGTACCGACGGATGGATACCAGCGACCTGCAGACTGTGCAGCAGCCTCTGCACTGTGGCCTTCTTCCCTTCAGTCTGTCTCCACTGAACCAGTCCAGCCAGAACCGCTCCATGAGTACTGAGAGAGTGATCAGACCGACAGCGAAACAAAGCCTCCACAGACAAACCCAGATCCAGCAGGACCGACTCCCACTCAGATCCAAGCCGAGACGCCAGCCGGGACAACTCCAGATCCGAAGGAACCCCCTGAAGAACCGAGTCAGGAATCTGGCAGACGTCTGCAGGCAGACCAGGAGAGAAGCTGTGAGTCTGTACAGTCAGATGTTAGAGACACCTTCAGAGTACCACCGTGTTTATCTCTTAGAATTCTGACTTCAAACTCTCAAAAGATAAACTTCATTTGCATTTCTGTGTTGAATCTGGATCTTTTATCAGATTTTGGACCCACCTTTCAGATTCACCACTTTCATGACAAACTGTGGATTCTGTTCTCAAATCCCAGTTTTAATGTCAAAACTCAGACTTTCATCTCACAGTTACTACCTTTCTCAAATCTCTCATTTTATTTTCAAAATGTAATCTTGACCTCAAACTTTATGGCTTTTATGTCAAATTTCACTTCTTAAATATCAGATTTCATCACAAAATTCAGATCTAAGTCATCATTTATCTCAAAATTCAGAATTTACCTGAGTTTAAAATAAGAAAAACCTGAAAAAACATTTGTTTTTAATCTTCAAATGGTCTTTTTCTAAAAATTCCAACTAAAATGAAATTTTATTTCTAAATCCAGATGTTAATTTTATAATTCAGTTTTATTTATCCAAATCCTTATTTTTAACTCACAGTGAACACTTTAATTTCAGATTTCTGATTTTTATTTCTGTTGTTTTAAAATGACATCTAAAAAAAAACAGGAGCTTGTTTTTATTCTCACTGTTTCCTTGTTTATACATTTGGATGTTTATACCCGAGCTCTACAGGCTTCTATCACACAACCGCACTCGCCTCCAGCAGCTTGACTAAATCAAACCGTTCAGTGGACCGCAAACCAACCACGCTTCTACTTCATGCACTTCTTGACTAGCTCATCTCTAACGTTAATTCTCAGTACCTGTCAGTGGGGGTTGCACTGTTTGGTCTCCATTCATTGGATGAAGGCATCAACAAAACAAGAGATAAAAAATACTACCAGCTCAGTCAACATGTGTTGAAATCAGCCGGGTCACTGTGACAGAGGAAGTGGTGGGTTTTTACAGTGCGTAACCTCTCGAGTGTTTCATCTGCAGCACACGGACGTGGCCCGGCTCAGCTTTAACTGGACCTTTATTAGAAACTCAGTGACCTGCAGCAGAGAAACTGTTTGGACACTCTTAGTTGTTTGCTCTGGGATTTCCAGCTTTCATGCAGGGTTTCAACATGTTCACTGAGTTCAATTTAAAACTTATTCAAGAGCTCTGAATTTATTTATATCACATTTTTGTCTGCACTTGTCATACAACAATGCTTCCAATGACCTGGTTACGCAGCAGAAGACAGACGGATGAATAAAAACATGTCGAGGCCTCTTTTAAAAGCACTGACAGCTGGGAAAATATCCAGAGCGCTTTCTTTATACCGTCTGTTGATAATATCACCACTCTTTTCATTTTGTCTCCAAGTTATTTGTTAGAGATGTGAGACAATATTCTCTGCACTATGACTTCTTACTTTTATTTGAAACTTCATTCCCAGAATTACATCTTGTTTCAAAATGAGGACATTAATCTCAAGACAGGGACATTTTTCTCACATGATCTCATTGCGATGTTCCTCGGAATCTACAGTTTTAACTTTTGTCTCAGTTATTAATTGGATTTAAACTAAATAAGTGATGATTACACTACATTTTATGAACCTAAGGGCTGAGGCTTTTTATATGACTTTGACATAAAGTGTAAAAAAACAAAACAAATTCGTGACAGGACAGTTGGTTTGTTTGTTTGTTTGTTTGTAGTGTTTTTCAGTACATGTCCCAACCGCTGATAAAATACGACTTAAAACAAGATGATGTCTCCTGTGAACAATAAACTGTGGTAATTTTCCTCCAGGGGTCATCACAGCAGCCTGAACCCTCAGATGCGACACACAGCTGCTCATTAAAACACCTCTAAGTCCTCTGAAGTGTCGCGGCTCAAAAATGTTCACCAAAGGGTTTTTTTTCTTTTAGCAGAAACCAGGGGCTTGTGATTAATGTGATGCCAAACATCTGGCTCTGCAGCTTTAACACCAACGGCCTGCTGCTGCTGCAGGGTTCCTGGAAAGCAGGAGGCGGGCAATAAAACACCTGGGGGTGGGACATAGGCCTGGGGTGGAAAACAAGTGCTCCCCTCGTGCTCCTCCCCCATCAGGCCACATGTCCACATGTGAGCACTGAGAGTTTGCTCCTTCCACATAAAAAGTTTTCCCTGAACTGAGCTGAAACCGACAAAAGTCCTGGTCCATATTTAAATGATGCAGTCAGTGACTGTATGTCTTTGTTACTGCGCACAAAGCTCATGCACAGCGAGCCATGCCGCTGCACTGGGTGCCAGGTTTCTTCCTCAGGAAACGTGAGGCCGTCTGTTTCCAACAAACAGCTCCATCATGTTGCTCTGTGCAGAAGCTGGTGGAGCCCAGTGGCTCTGCCTTAGTCACAAAGTGACAGCCGCTCTTAATCTGTGGAGCAGAAGTGTCCCTAGATTTAAAGCTATGATTTAGCACAAATTCAGATAAAACAAGAGGCCGCGTTGTGTAGCACAGACAGAGGGCGACAAAGAGCGAGGCCAAACCAGGGTTAACATCGGTTTGGCCTTTCGGAGATGGAGAGCACTAAAAGCATGTACGTTCACACTGCAGGCTGAAGTGGCCCAAATCCGATCTTTTTGCCCAAATGTGACCCATATCCAATTTCCTTATGACAGTGTGAACAGCACAAATCAGATTTTTTCAAATCAGGCCCAGGCCACTTTCATATGTGGTCCTAAATCAGATACATATCCAATGTTTTGCAATGCGACTTCAGTCTAAATGGCCATGTCGCATTTCATGCGACTTTTATGTCATTGAAATGTGACAGACATCAATTCTGCACTGGAGGAGGCGAGGCCATAAGCAATATTTGTGCTCTCCTTCTTCTTGATATTCTTCTTATTATTTCTTTATTTCGATTGCACATTAACTGGTACATCACTACGCACATGCTATCACGAGCCGCATCCATTTTTATTTTCGCAAACACAGTACGCTGCATCTGATGTCACGTCCTCTTCTGCGCATGCGGGTCACCTCAGGGCTGTATACCGTTCACACATGAGACAGATGGCAGTCACATTTATGACAGTGTAAACAACAGTGCAAAAAAATCAGATTTTGGCAAAAAATCCAATCTCAGCATTAAGACCTGCAGTGTGAACGTAGTCAGATGGGGCTTTCTTCCTGCTACAAGCTAAGTACAGCAGCTGGCTAACGTACTACGTTCACACTGCAGGTCTTAATGCACAGATCAGATTGGATTTTTTGCCGAAATCCGATTTTTTTGCGCTGTTGTTCACACTGTCATTTAAATGCAACTGCCATCTGTCTCATATGTGAATGGTATACGGCCCTGAGGTGACCCACATGCGCAGAAGAGGACGTGACGTCAGACGCAGTGTTTGCGGAAATAAAAATTGATGTGGCTCGTGATAGCATGTGCGTAACGATGTACCAGTTAATGTGCAAAAATCGGATTTGTGCTGTTCACACTGTCATAAGGAAATCGGATATGGGTCACATTTGGGCAAAAAGATCGGATTTGGGCCACATCAGCTTGCAGTGTGAACGTAGTCTAATAAGTCAGCATGGTTAACAAGGAGGAGGGGAGGACGGGTTACCACCTGGGTTTGTTGGGGTTCTCACTCACTTCTAACTGTTCAATAGTTAGAGGGCAAAAGTTAGCTACAGGGGCTTCAAGACCTTTTCACATTTGTGTACATGGACTCCGTGTGAACGTCAAGTCAGAAATCAAACTGTTCTCCTGTTCTTCTCAAATATGTGATTTATGATATGGGGATGTAGAAATCTGATCTGACTCCACTCTCCTCCTGTTAGTCGGGACTCAGTTTCCTCTTCACATCCAGGGAGGAGGGCTACCGGTAAACAGCTGGAACATCCAGCTGCTCGGAGACGCTCTGTAGCCTTTACACGATTCTGTCCTTCCTGACCTCAGACAACTCAGCTCCTTTCACAGCTTCTTTGTTTTAGTTTAAACCAAAGGCTGCAGGTACGACAACAAACACCTGTCACAAGAATGGAGCTTCACTGAGGTGGACGGTGTGGACACTTTTAGCTGCAGCTCGGCCTCTGAAACTGGTGGAGGACAAGTCGCCACCGTGCAGACACGTTACTGATTGTTTGCGGCTGTTACAGTAGACTGGAGTCTGCTCAGATAAAGGAGCTGCTTCCAGGAACCTTCGGTCTCACGTCACGCCTGTGATTCAGCCTTTTTTCATTCACTTTCATGAGTTTTAACCTTTTGCACTGCAAAAAAATAAAACAAAAGCAGCTTCTTCTTCAAACCCGTTTACCTTCTCCTGAGCCTTGAACTCTCACTGTCTTCAAACAAACAGAAGCAAATCAGCTGGCTTCCAAGAACGTATGTGTCATTTATTGTGGTGCAGTGACTCTTTGTCCTGTTTGAAGACGCTGACACGCTTTCCCAGGAACATTTCTGAAACCCGGGAAGCTGTTCTGGGAATGCTCCCACACACACAGACGGCATATCCAGCTGAAGTTCCCCATCCACTGCCGCTGTTAGCCGGACTGGATCTGAACATTTAGTCATGACCTCTGATTATTCTGCTCAGGTTGCCTACGTTCATCACTTAACCTGTTGACCTCTGTCACCAACTTTTTAATGCTCAGATTGATCACATCTGTTTCACAGCATGTCCTCCAGAAATCCGATCCCCTTGATTTGGCTCAAAACACGAGCTCTACTCTCACAATTACTACTTTATGTAATACCGGTGTCTCAAAGTGTTGATTTAAATTATCACAGCCTTTCTCACTTTCATTTGATATTTTTACCTCAGAGAATTTTGACTTCATCACAAAATTTGGATTTAAAATTCAGTTATGACTTTTTCTTATAAAAATTATTGCTTTTATTTTAACTATTTAATCTCACATGTATAAGTTTTACTTCAAAATATGGACAGCGACCTGAGAATGTCATTTTATGATTCCTTACTTTCATTTAAAGGTTTCATCTTTGTCAAATTTGCTATTTTATTATTAGTTTCATTGACAGAGACGATTCTCAGCAATTTTCTCTTAAAGTTCTGAATTTTCTGGAACATTAGTGTGTCACTGTCCAGTCAGACACCAAACGATTTTCTTCTGTTTCAGTTTCTTCTCACACTTTTTGATCCTCCCACTTTTGAAAACATCATTCTGCCTGTTGAGACATTATTTCTAAAATCACTCAGAAATGCTCATGACTTTATCTGCACAAACAAAAATAATAATAATTAAACATTAAAATTCTGGAAATAAATGTACTAATAAAGTTTTAATAAAGGTTCTTGAGCTCTGTTAAGGCAGTAAACACAAGATCGTCCATTGCCGTTATAAATGAGTCATAATTATAACACTGCAGTTGTTAATAAATGAATAAATGCCTTGTTGTTCATAAACTGTGGTGATTTATTAGGAGGTGCAGCAGAATATCAACAACCTGAGCTTTCTACCCACCCTTACAAGTATTTTGTCTGTAACTCAGCCCTGAACAGAAACAAATTTGCTTCTTCCAAGAACTTTGGTTTCCACTGTAGCAACTGTTGGACTTGTTTGAAACTGGTTTCCACGAACCACCTCAGGCTCCCAGCTCTTCTGGGAATCATCACACCCCAGTGATAAGGTTCTATTGTGTTGCTTTTTATGCTGACTGTAAAGCTGCAGCTTATCAAGACCTGTGCAGCACCAGTGTTAAAGGGAAACTCAACTATTTTTAGACCATTATCTTTTCTCAGAACTGCAGCTAGTCTCAGGGAGACGCCTGAACGATACCAGAGCGTCCAGATAAAAATATCAGGACGATGTGAGCTTATTTACTGTTACGATTCTTAAAGCAGATTAAATAAATTAGTTTATCTGGACTCATTTCCACAAAAAAACACTTTTACAAGGCTGTTGTGTCCACAGACTAGACTTAACCAAACCAGGACCACAGCCCTGTCGGAAAACAACCTTATTCATCATTTTTCTAACCGGTGTTGGCCCACCTGAAGGACACTGTTGACCCCCTGCTGTTTGCCTACCGGGCAGGGGGTCCAGCACGGGGACTTCAGCTCGACATTCAACACTATCATCCCGGACATCCTCCACTCCAAACTGACCCAGCTCACTGTGCCTGCCCCCACCTGTCGGTGGATTACTAGCTTTCTGACAGACAGGAAGCAGCAGGTGAGGCTGGGGAAAACCACATCCAGCACCCGGATAATAGGCATAGGTGCCCCCCAGGGATGTGTGCTCTCCCCTCTGCTGTTTTCACTCTACACCAACAACTGCATCTCGAAGGACCCCTCTGTCAAGCTCCTAAAGTTTGCTGATGACACAATGGTCATTGGTCTCATCGGAGACGGTGACGAGTCAGCCTACAGACGGGAGGTTGAGCAGCTGGCATGGAGATGACAGTGGAGTGGAGGAAGAGTCACAGTACAAGTATGAATACGGATTTAAAACGTGGACTAGGGTGTTTAGCACTGGTTCCACGCCTTTAGGTGGTGTTGCTAATGACAGGTGTTCTCCTTCGTGCTCTCACCTGTCGAGCTGGGTCCAGGTGCAGTCTGGAGCTCCAGCAGCAGCCGGTCTCGGACCCACCGGAAGTCCTCCAGAGACTGCAGGAACGAGTCGAAGGCACGGGGCCCGCGGCTCGGGAGGATGTCCAGCAGCTTCAGACTCTTCTGTCTGTTTGTCGATTGAGATTCGATGTCCTCCACTTGCGTGTCCGTGATAATGCCCTCCTGGTACAGAAACGGAACGATAGTGTCACTGACCAGCAGCTGGTCGGACAGATCCAGTCTGTGTTTCCGCAGCACCGCTTTGTGAGCCGGGTCCATCTTAACCTCTGGCCGTGGCTACGCCTGTAACACACTAGTTATCCCAAACCAACTAACGTAACTATCAGCTGGGGAAACTACTGGCGACACCGCTAGCCTACTAGTCCGGACAACTACAGTTTGCTCAATGTTATTGTGTCCGACTGGAAACATCGCAGCGGAAACAAGGTTTTGCTAATCATAATCACTGAGTTTCCCATGAGAGTGTTACATGTCTAAAAATATTTTAATTCAGACCAAACGTGAAGTAACTGTTCAGTAAAATAATATATGAATTAATTTTTAATTGTTCTATTCGGCATTTATTTATATTATCCTGGGCAACATTACCATTGAGAATTTTCAACGTTTCTTCCTTACTAACTTTTGCTTCAAACATGGTGAGCAGTACCATTTTAGCCAGCAAACAGCCTACTAAAATCTATATTCTTTATTAAATAAGGTGCCGTTTGGTGGAACAATATTGAGAAATTATTAGAGGGCTTATCATATTCCTGGGCATTTACTATGTAGTATAGATATACTTTTCAGAGGAGTCAGGTTGAATAGTCTCCTGCAGTTTAGTTCTTAAGACAGCTGCCTTTTGAAGTTATTTGGCACAAAAATTTAATTTGGCATATATTTAACACACTCACACTGCTTACATCTAAAATCTAAAACACTAAATGTTTCTCACAGATTTCCAGTTTCTACAGCCTGAGCAACTGTTCAAATTAAGGTCTTGGTTAATGAAAAGGCTTCTTGTTTCATAAATTATGGTTAGAATTCCTCAAAAGACTTCTGTTTAATTTTCTACTTCCAACCCATCGGTGAGTCACAGCCTAGATACAGAGTTTCTGTTCTGGCAGCTTCTAGCTTCCACGGTTCAGACATTAACTAACAAAGTGATTTTATTAAATACACTTTTACTTGATGAGTGAAATATTTGCAGAACTTACTAGAATTCCCTACATTTTCATAATGTTCTTGTGCTATAGTCTACCTGGTGTTTGAAGTTAGGAATGAATAAAGTAACTTAAAAATGGACGATTTTTAAGTTAGATTCCTCCTCCCATCCTAGACTTTCTCTTAGTTTTAAGTGTTGACCCCATGAACTCAGGTCAGCATCCCACTGAGTGTAAACCACTTCTGGGTAACAGTATGTCAAAAAGCTTCTTGGATGACTTCAGGATAAAACTCTGTAATGTCAGAGTTTCCAAGAATAACAATTCCTCTTTACATTTGAGCATTCCTGTTGTTCTGGCAGAAAGATCCCCGACAGATTTCATGTAACTGATGGTGTGAAAATAACTCGCAGGGTATTAACAGCAGCTGATCAGAATGTTTGCGTTTATTTGAAAAGGACCAAAACAAAAGCACTCGTCACATTCCAAGTCACATTTTAGTTTAGTTATCATCTCATACTTTAACCACTTGTTTGTTAAATTTCACCATCATAAGTAAAACCAATAGTGCAAACAGAGAGAAGAGAGCTGTGCAATGAAAGAAAACATACATATGATGAAGCACCATATAAAAATTTATTGATCTCACAGCTGGAGCTGATCAACCTGGCACAGTTTACTGATCAGCGGCACAAACAACACATGCGCTCAAGAGAACATGCAGCTTCTTTACAAATTAAGTGTAGCAGAAAACACAGTGCAACACAGTCAATAAATATATATTTTTTTAAATCCAACAGGGTGAGAGCTGCAGGGTCCGGTCCACAGCTGTGTATGTATCCAAACATCTGCAGTTACTGTGCTGCTCGTTGCGTTTCATGTTCAGTAACAAAGATTTATTCATGTTAAAGGTCTGGAGAGCAGGACACCATTGTCTGTACCAAAATCACAGCTGAAGGAGAAGTGAGTGACCTGTCCCTCCAAGGGTTAACCCTCCAAACTAACCAAACAGATGAGGAACCCTGTAATAATAGGGATCAGCAGAAACACCCTGTAGAGTCAAACCTGTGGACAGTGGGTCACCCAGGTAACCTCAGGCATAGGATGAGCTGGACCTCGCAGCCACAATCCAGCTCTGACCATGACATGACATGGGTCGTAAAGACACTGAACAAATGAGAACTGCTGTGTGTGTGTGTGTGTGTGTGTGTGTGTTACAGCTGACAGTGAGTCAGTGCTCAAACGTTTTTATGAAACCAAGTGCTACAATGACTCAAAGATTTGCTGGATTTACTAGAAGACCCCACATTTTGTCCTGTTTCACAGGGTCAGTTTATTATTAGTTATCAAAGAGTTGTTAAAACATTAGATTTGTAAATAGAGCATGTAATCTGTCTGTTTTCAACTAGTGGCCCCCTGGTGGCCTGTAACGGGATTGCAGGTGTCATTTCCATATGGGAATCACAATGTAGTTTATTGTTCAAAAACACATTTCCATGTGTTAATTATAGTTTGTGAGTAATGAAATTCATACAAGCATATAAGATTTAGAAAATCCAAGGTAACTTTCAAGATAAAATAGTGCCCACCCGGTTTATTCACCAAACAAAAGGGGTCCTCAGGCTGCCTTGAGGTCACAATGTTGGTCGCTGGCCCACAAGCAGCTGAAAACCCCTGATCTACACCAGTCTACTTCACTGTGAATGACACAACCCGTGAGCTGTTTATTCCCCATCCCTACAGAGGCGAGGATGCAGCTGACTGTCAGAAGCCGGCCGTCGCTGACCGACTGTGTAAACATCTGGCTGACAGCTGCAGAGTACTACATCCAGCAGGGACAAAGTCCAGCAGAAGCCCGCAGAGGCCAAACACAGACTTACTATTAAAGTAGAGAGAGTGACTTGTGTTCACCTAGAAAGGATCAACAACACATGACGTCTGTTTGTTTCTACACTGCACATCGACCAGGAAACCTCGACTCGCCGCCTCCAAAACATTCGGCCGCAGGTGAACTTTTCATGGCCACAGGGCAGCAACCAGTCAATCAGATGGCTCCGTTTCCTGTGTGTAAAGGTAGAAATAACAGAAAGTAGGGTGCTTCACATTTGTTTTTATGGGCCAAGTAACATGGTCATCTATAATTTCAGTAGAGGAAAATGTAGCTAATGCTTCATGTTACAGGTGAAAAATGTGCAAAGTCTTTCCTGAAAGTGACTGAGCCAGCTTGTGGAGAAGAATGATGGCATGGGCATCAAACTCTGGGTGGAGTGTGCTGATTTTTATTCTGTTCAAAGGGAAACAGGAAAATTCTGATTCAGAAATGTTCTTTCTTTTCTGGGTCGATGGAGGCCAGGAAGGTTTCTGCCAGTTTTCTGTTCATTTCCCCTCATTCCCATCTGGCTAACGCTGGACTGTACAGGGCGGTGATTTGATCTGTTTCCCTTCTTTGCCTTTCATGGCAGAGTCTGGTACCAAACAGTTTAACCTGAAAAATGTGATTAACATCTCATTTACAGCCCCCTAATTTCTGAACAACTTCTTAACAGTCGTTCATTGAGCTTCCAAGAAGAAGAAACAAGTGACCTGGTTCCACGGTATTTAGTCTTTCTCTGTCAGTAGAGGGTGAACAGAGCATGTGCACTACCTGAGGCGAATCAGGAAGATTAGCATCTTCAGGTAGTCAGCTTTAAATTGAGCTTTTGTTGTCTCTGGAAATCAGTCAACACCGTGAGCTAAACTCTAAACCAGAGCTGAAGCGATTAGTGGATTGATCCATCAGTCGATCAAAAGAAAGTTAATCTGCAACAACTCTGATAAGTGATTGATTGTTCATGTCCCTTTAGTCTTCTGCTTATAGTGTCTGACGATGATAAATTAAAAACCTCTTTCTGGGCTGTTGGCTGGACAAAAACTGGCAACATTTGGCACTGTTTTATGAGATTAATTAAATCAAACCACCCTAATTATTAATCACTAATCATTGGCAACAGCCCTAATAGAAACCATTTTAATTCGGTGCACGTTGAAGGACGTGGTTTTTAAAAAATATTTTAATGGATTATTAAATTGTTCTGAACCTGAACTTATTAGCCCAGCTGTGCACTGGTGCATATTTTTTCCTCTCATTTTTGAAATAATCAATAATAGCTTCTGATTGTCTTTGCCTGTGGCTGCATTGATCAAGTTGACGTTCACTCAAATGAGGCCTACTACTGTCACGGTTCTCGTGATGTAAATCCGGTCATCTGCCCTCATTTTCATCATTTCAAGATGCAACAACTGATCAATCAGTCAATCAGATTAATCTGCAGCTATGCTGATCAAACACTCCTGATTTCAGACAGTACAAATCTACGGGTTATTCTGATAAACTCAGCACACGGGAGATTCACTCCACAGCACAAAATGTTCTGGATGATTAATCGAGTGATTTTTCAAGATGCTTCCTGTTTAATTCACAGTAAAATGAAAAAGGGTTTTGGACTGTCAGCTCCTTTAAAGGCTATGAAAATAATTAACTATGAACTAACTATGAAAATAATCATTAGCCCTAGTTTCAATGTTCAGTTTTTGTCTCTGTTAAATGGGCTGTGATGTGTTAAGTGTCCACAGATCCAGAGCCCATAAAACAGTCAGATCAGAATCCATGTGGTCGTTTTAACGTCTCCTCCTCTGCACATACAGCCTATCATCATCATTCGGTGTCGGCCCCTCACAGACCGGTAACAGTAAACATGGAGGAGAGCAACGACAGTGACAGGGTCAGTGGAGAGACCAGGACGTGTCACATGTGGTGGATGTTTATGGAGAAACTTCTGATCAGGTCAGACTGGGAGGAACATATTGTAACCCAGTGGTTTGGGAGGAAACTGGGCCATTTGACATCACACCCACCACCTGGTTGTTATTCTTGTGTGCACGTGGCTCACATTTCAGTTACATCTATGCATGTGTAGCAGTTTAGGAGCTCAGCGGTGTTCACACCAGAGTCGAGTACATGGCGCTGACACACACGGACGGGAAGCAGCAACACAACAAGGGCTGAGCGTTGAGGCCTGGGACGTGGATGCAGCCTGAATGAACATCTACTGGCTGCGATTTCAGATCAGACTGTGGTCAGCTCCGGTCCCACAGGGGTCCAACCTGCACGCACCTGTTTCAGCATCTGTTCAGGACGACGTCAGAGACTTTCCTCACCTACTGCCAGGAAACACTTCCTGCTGTGGACTCCTCCTCCAGCTTAGACACCAACTCCTGCCAGGAGGGAACTCTCACACTCACCTCTGATACTGTCCCCTTTACCTGCTGGGGACCTGTAGGAACAGGGCATGATGGGACTGCTCAGTGTACGCTGCTGATGCACTGCACTGCTGTTACCTCACAGCAAGCCGTACGCCTGCTGCGTCTCTACACGTTGTAGGTGTAGTCTGTCAGGTAGTCCTTCAGCCTGGTGGGCAGCGGAAGATCCTGGACCTGCCGTGTTGTCCTGTTGATGGCGATGCGACACAGATGCTGAAGCGATGGTGTGGCAGTGTACACGGGTTTGGTGAGCAGCAGTTGCACCATGCCGTTGGGCGCCGCTGCTGAGGGCTGAGGGTTGGCTGCCGCCTTGTCGCTGGTCCTGGACAGCTGCACGTAGTGCTCCACCAGGTGCACCACGCTGTCAAACTGCTTCAGCTTGGGCTTCACCAGGACAACGGAGTCCAGCTTGAATTTACCGTGTTTGTACTCAATCCGCAGGTTGGTGGGACCCACCGACGTCATGGCGGAGATGGTGAACAGGTAATCTCTCTGAGAGCTGTCCCGGACCAGGAAGGTGCCCTCCGAGGCATCCTGCAGGATCTGTTTGGCTTCGCTGGCGGTCAGACTGCCCCAGTACCAGCCTGGACAGTGAAACATGACAGGAGACAAACACACAGCAGCAGAGCGTCACATGCATGTTATGTGTGGTTTGATCAGCTCTGCTCAGGATAAAGCAAAATGTCTGTGAGCAAAGAGCCAGCTTCACCTCCTCTCACAGTTTCCTAAATGTGGCACTGCCTTCAGCTGCGAGCAGCAGAGATACAGATGGGAAGTGCGGAGAGGGGCGGCTACGACATGCAACAGGGAGTCAGACCACTGCAGTTAGGTGTCCCTGTTTAACCAGTGTGAACACCGACGCCTGTAGTAACAAGTGCCTTATACAGAACACACATACAAACCAATAAAGGATTTCATTGAGAAGAAATCAGTCTTATTTCCCACCCCGATTCCCATCTCTAGATTCTGCTCATCGTGGGGTCCTGACCCTTAGGTTGGAAAACACTAGTTTAAGTGAACACACAGTGGCAAAACAGACCGTGAGTAGAAACGGAAAAATAACCAGCAACTATTCAGATTATCAATTAATCGATTCAGTCAGTTTTCTCTTTCTTTTCTTTCTCATGTCACTGTAAACATTAAAACTGAACTCAGCTAAAATAAAGCTCTGCACAGTGGTGACAGATGTCATAACCCTGTTTTCACAAAGTAAAGATTCATTCATCTACAAATGAACCTGAAGATTAACCGATAATGAAACGATCAGCAGCTGCAGCACAAATGAACCGATATAATGTGTCGACTGTCTGAAATGTCATGAAATACTTTTAATTACTTTTTGGATTAAAACTCTGATTTGTGTCAGGTTGTTTTATCTATTTCTCCAGAAAACTTTCTACCTGGCCACATGTCAGTCAGTACTGTCACATACAGGCGGTGACAGATGAAAAGAAGCTGCTGACTGAGTGGAAACCCAACCAGCAGGGCCACTGATCAATCAGCTGATCATTGTCCTGATTATCTGATTGATCTATTTGTCCCCAGAATGTCAGACACTGGGTAAAAGTCCCACTGTGACTCTCCAGAGCCAAAGGTGGCGTCTCCACACATCTTGTTGTGTCCAACCAACAGACCCACAGAGACTCAGCTGATTCTCATGTCTGACAAAGAAAAGCATCAGCTCCTCACATTAAAGAAGGTGGAACCAGAACATGTTGGTGACTGTTGCTTCTAAATAGCTGAGGTTCATTTTCTACCAGTGAACTGACTCATGGCTGCAGCTCTAGGTCACTGAATGGCTTCATGAGGACGACACGGTGGGTCGGACACAGAGGGGTCAGACGCAACGGGGGGATCTGGTTTGGAAGGAGGAGGTTTTCTCCTCCGACAGAGGAGACCTGACGCTGCCCCGGTAGACTCGGCCCCAATGAGGCCCTGCTGGGGACTGCATGCACTTTTTGCAGGATTTTATCCTTAAATCTTCCCCACTAACAAAAATGAAGGTTTAAGTTGTAACTTCAGGGATGATTTCTCTTATTTTCTGACATTCTATAGACAAACAATGAACAGCTGTCAAATGCAGCCCTAGTGTTGTCAGCAGTCTTGTGAACAAAACCAGGCCCTGAACAGGACTGAGCAGCCTTTCAAAGGCCTGACTGACCGTGCTGACACAGACCCAAATGGCTGCTGTGGGGTCTGGGCCATTTTCCAGCTGCTTCCTGTCTGGACACTCAAAGCTACAACCCATATGCACACGGCTGGTGCTCTACAAAAATGAGGGTGTCTGTTTCAACTACACATGAATAACTTTGGTTCGACCTGTGTTCCTGAGGTCCTTCATGGCTAAGGTGATGCGGCTCTCGTCTGATTCCACAGCCCCCGAGTTGCTGTCGGCTCGTCTGTCACTCTCGATGGTTTCTGTGGACTCGGACGACTGGCAGGTCATTGGACAGGTCTGACCTTCAGCCTGGTCTCTCAGACATTGACAAGGTCTGCAGCAGCCAGACTGGAGGGGAGGAAGTCGCTGCTCGCCTCAGAGCTCTGCGCCCATTTACACCGCCCTGGAAATGAACAACATCTATCAGCACCGACTGACTGTAAATACACAACATCACCATTCATAGAACTTTGTGAGCCAAGAAAAAAGCTGTGTGATCACTGGAAACTCGCATTAACCAGCTTCTCCCTCGACCGTTAAGGGTAAAGTGAGAGTCCAGTCAAACTCCAGCAGCGTCCCATCCTCTTCTCCCTCCCATCCTGCCCAGTCTCTGAAACTACGTCATATGTGGTCACAACGGCCGGAGACAGTTGTGGCAGTCAGGTAGCGCAGGTAGTGACCGGCTCCAGAGCTAATGCATAGAGACCATAGGGCCCATACAGACCATAGGGCCTGAGGCTGTCAGTGGCGTTGCAGCAACACAGTGTCAAACAGAGCAAAAACAGCAAAGATTAGCTAAATCACTTCCTTTGCTGATCCAGGAAAACGGGCTGGTTTCCGCTGACTGGACAACAAAACGCTAACGCTGCAGTCAGTTGGAATGACTCCGAATTACAACCAGATTCAATACAGAGGTATTCAACTGAAAAGTTTTACATATACACGTTAGCCGGCTGCTGTACTAGGGTGTAGCGGGAAGAAAGCCCCATCCGGTTAAATGTTAGTCCTGTGGATGCTTTTAGTGCTCTCCATCTCCGAAAGGCCAAACTGATGTTAACCCTGGTTTGGCCTCGTTCTTTGTCGCCCTCTGTCTGTGGGTGTGGGGTAGTACAGCAGAGAGAGACACTAAATGAGTTTTCACTTGATTTATCTGATCTTGTGCTAAATCTTAGGTCAGACCCGGGCTGCTGTCAGTTCGGCCGTGTGAGGGTTTCAGGGAAGGCGCAGCACGACAGAAGACAAACCAGGAAAAATAGCTTCAAGCGTCAGCTCGGCTATGCGTGGGGCAAATGGATCGGTGGATCGGTGCGTGGGGTAAATGGATCGGTGGATCGGTGCGTGGGGCAAATGGATCGGTGCGTGGTGAGAGATGACACGCACAAAAAGGAGTAGGACGATGAATATTTAACATGTGGATGTTCACGGACGGGTCCTGAAGAGGCTCCACTGCCACAGTATCAGCAAAGTGGTGCTAATGACAGCATGAGACCGCGTGAACGGGTTTGGCGATGAGACACGGGGACCGTGCATGAACACCGAGGCAGCCGGAGACTCGTACACACAGTGTGGAGACAGCCACGTGAAAAGCTGTGCGCGGTGCGCAGTCTCGTTTGGTGTGTGCACAAATATTTGACCGTAATCAAACTGCACAGATGGTTATAAAGACCGTGTAGGAGCCACGAAGGTGTCCGGGTCTCCCGCTTGTCGCTGGGGCGGGTTATTACCACCAGCTGCACGGCGGCTGTTTGGCAGCTGGCCGGGAGGGAGCGGGTTGGATGTTAGGGCTAGGGTTAGGAGATGGGAGCCCTCTTCCCTGTTGACCGCTGTGTTGCGGGGTCTTTGTCCAGTTTGCCGGATGGTCCACACTCGGACCGACGGTTTGCCCCGTCAGTGAACCACCAAACACAGCTATGGAGTTCGTCTGGACGACAGACCTCCGTGCGCTCCTCTCAGCGGCTCATTTTGGTTTTAGGCAACTGCTGCAACACCATGTGTGACTTTGTTCATCGGAGGCTCCTTTAGTAAGACTGCTGCTGCCTGTTTTCGTTTTATAATGGCACTGTGGAGGGTTAACTGCTAAATAATTGTTCATAAGCCCACTGGGGGAGAACCCTGGACACACGTGGGTTTTTAGATTCTTTCAAATTTTATTCTGCCATGTACTTTGGTCAGCTGGATGTTGGTTTTAGTGCTATATAAATAAATCTGATTGATTAAATGAACCAATCACTGAGAGTGGAAGTGTCCAAAGCCATTTCTTGTTGTTTAAAGCCATTTTACATGAGGACCACACCGTAGGCTCCATCGGCGGCAATGATAAGGGTACAGATATGCCCCCCACCCCCCCGACAGCCCTTGTATTAAAGTAAACCGAGCATCTCTGCACAAGACATCTGAAGAAAAATACAAAAGAGACACCAGTTGTCATAAACGTTTCATTTAGCTTCATTTGTACATGAAGAGGTTACTAAAATGCTGCGTTTGGTTTAAAACTGGCCGAATTGCAGCTTTACGTTGTTTACCAACCAACAGAAATGATTTATTTGACCAACAAAAAGTAACTACACTGTAATTATACTGTCTACAAGATCGTATCATAGCCCAGGCCTACTGTGAGTATCTGTTCATTCCTGGTTTATACTTGTGTCCAAGCAGAATTTAACAGTGGACAGTGAAGAGAAAACCGTTTCCGTGTCTGCCAACAAGCAAGACGCCTTTAAATTTATAAATATTTGAGCAGAGTTTGGTTCTTTACCATATAAAAAAAACGTTTTCCGTCTTTACATGCGTAATAAACCACCCGTAATCGAACTTAGAAGTCTTAATGCCTTCTAAGTATTTTTATTTTGTGGCCTTTTTCTGTGAGATGATGTTAAATAAGAATTTAGAAGAGAACCTGGCTTCATGTTATAGGTGTCTCCATTGTCTGGGTAGATATTTCACAGGTGAGCTGTAAAGCGTTTTATTACCACGTCTCTTAGATGTAAATCAAATCAAATCCTAGTAGGTTTACAAAACAGACAACTGATTATTAATTTTAGCTGCAAGCTGCTCAGAAAAATTCATGCTTGGTAAATTTATTCTTTCAGGTGGAATTTGAGGACGAAGTGTAAAGACTGGAAAATATTATTCCGTTTTCAAACAGGACAGAGAAGAGTTACGATTCCTGGACAACTGAACAGAATTCGTCGGAACCGGACCAGACGACAGGCCGGTGACTGACATTCATGTTGGAGGGTTGTTGTTGTTGTTGTTGTTTTTTAACCAAGAATCAATGGAAGAATGCTACAAAAAAAGTGGGAAAACTGGGCGTAACGTGGCAAATTATCCGGTTACCCGGATATAAATTGACATTTGAACATTTAAAAATGAACTTTGTGTTCTTCTTTATAAAGTTTAAGAGTCAATTGTTTAAAAAAACGACGGGAACAATTATATTTTTTTCGGCACGTTTACAGCTGGAAAAGACGCATAAATGTTGGAAACATGAGCGGAATTTGGCAAAAAGCGACAGTTTGCGCTCCGCTAAATCAACGGGCAATTTGAGGACCAGGCGGGGACACAGGTGCTACAGTCTCTCTAGTGTTTCCGTCCCGCCACACCTGTCCGTTACAGGCGAGATACACCGCATCACGTCACAAAACGTTATCGACCAAATAACGTTAGAGGCGGACGTACCTGGAGCTAGCCGCTAGCTAGCTGAGCCCGTCAGAACCAGCGAGACCTGTTTATCCTCCAGGCACAGCCGCCATTTCAGCGGGAACGGGTCCCGTGTAAGCCCGCAGACCTGCTCCTCTGGTGGTGTTTATTTTCTGCCCCGTTCTCGCTCCTGTACCCCAGAAATGGCGGGTGGCAGCGGGCACAGGCGAAGGTCCGACCGTCAGCAACAGTCCCCAACCATCAACCTGTCAGGCCTGTCCGACCTGCGGCCGCATGGTACCGATTTATTCCCGTTTCCCGGAGAGCGAGGAAAGCGCCGTGTAAGTCGCGAACACCGTGTCCTTCCGTCCGTCTCCGCGCTGGGGACAGCCGTGTCCGCCGAGCCGCCTGATAACCGACAACACCATAATCACTGCGCAGGCATTTCCAGGAACTTTCCAGGAACGCAGTCACGTGGTGCAGCGCTGCGATTTAAGGTGGACCGACACACACGTCTTTGTACTTGTATCTTTATGAGGACCCTCCCGGATATAATGCCGCTAACCTTAATAATGTGTTATCGCACGTTTGCATCGCTGTGCTCGGACGATCCCGTCTTCATAGTTTTTGTCATTTTGGGTCTCTGTAGTTATTTTTGTCTGTTTTACTTGATGTCTCTGAGGTTGTTTTGCACATCCTTTTGTTCATCTTTGTGACTGTTTTGCATTTATGTTGTTGACCGACTTTCCAAAAGTAAATGTTAACAGTCGCCTCATACAGAGACTGGTCGAGGGGCTCCCTGGTCCGCTGGGTCCATCCGGTACCACTGTAACAACAGTGGAGACCTCATGCTCTCAAGGATCCTGAACATTTTACCATTCAAATCAATAGGGACGCGGAAAAATGACCAAAATCTTAAAATGTCAACAGCCACAAGTCAAAAACTATAAAAGATATCAGGAAGACCAAGAGGTCTAAAGTCTGCGGGCCAGTGTAAAGTTTAAATGACTTCTCTAGTCCAATATGGCAAAGCAGGAAGGTTTAGAGGAAGTGTAAAGTTTCTCCACTGAGAGTCATTATAAAGAGGGTTGACAAAAAAGTACAAAAGTTACACAAATTAAAAGCATAATCTACCAAAGAGGATGTAGGTTTTAAAGCTTGAATGAAGCTTTAAACACCCCCCCTCCCCCTCCAATAAACCCAGTTCAACTGTGAGCCAGTAAAACAAAAACTACACTTAATCTCTGGTCTGTATTTCATGAAACATTAATTTCAATAAAAATCCAAACAACATTGTAAAGTACAAGTTTCTCTTTAATTCAAATGTTATAAATTAATGAAAAACAGAGGGAAACAGACCAACTGTTTTCATTTCTAAATCCCCCATCATTACAGCGTGAAGCTGAATGTGAAGTGGTAAGAGTGAAGATGTATCATGAGAAACCCTGTAAATAAAAACAAGTTATAGTACATCAGGTTTTTCCATTTCAGGAACAGAGTCAGAATATGTTGAGCAAAACTTTATTTTGGAGGAAGAGTCGGAATAAATTGTGTCTTGTGAAGGGTCGCGCTGTGACAGTAATGTATCTTTATACCTGTAAAAGCAGAGCATACTTTTATCACCAACATTACAACCTTTTCCTCAGGACATTCACGACATGTCTGCTCTGACATTTGTGTGTAATAGACAGTCATCGATGTGCAACAACAAACAGCAGCTCTGACACTTTTAATTACATCTCAATGAAGATGTCACAAGTTCAACCCTGAAAGCTTCAGAAAGGCTCCAATCTAATTTGACATTTTATTCTCACATTTGGAAACAGAAAACCCGTCAGTGTGCGCTGAGTACAGTCTGCAGGTCTTCGGGCAGTGAACGGATGATGGAGTTTATAAAAGCATCGAATCTGTCCAAAACACCGTCCTTCACCTGCAGCTGCAGCCTGCGAACTTTAACCTACAAACAGTCAGAAACAAAGACTGGTCTGTGTTCTCACAGCGGCACAGCTCAGGACTGACGTACCAGCACTGGCCTGATTCACTCACCAGCTTCTCTCTGAGCTTTAGGATCAGATCGACAATTTCCACCTCTGACTTGTCTTTGGTCCAACCCAGCAGGTCCTGAGATGACAGATGTAGACATTTAACACCTTTCTGACCATCAAGTGGGATCCAGATGTTTGAGATCAACTCACAGCATCACAGATGACCTCCAGGTGAAGGCTCTCCAGCTTCTGAGTCATCTCTTTGTGTCGATGACGATACCATCCATCAAAGTTCGGAGACCTGAAGAACTTCCTGTCACAAGTCAACAAAAGTGAA